GTGCACGGATTCCTCACACATACGCTACCGTGGCGCCCAGACCCCACAGTAAAAAGAGAGAGATACCATTCAAGCGGCATGATCCTGACCATACCACAGTCGATGCATCATACCACTCTGAAACCGCAAGCACGCTCTAGAGTGGCAGGCCACTTCATACCTATCTACTCACTACAAACAACCAAACACAGCTCCCAAAACAGCGGACAAGCTCCCTCACACACAACGGAGCCATCACTAATCATCAGCTCCATTCTACCATGGTGCTTGCCTCAGCATACGGAAGCAGAACTGGCAGCACTATTACTACAATGCCAGGGAAGCTTGCACAATCCGAACAACCTTGGACGAAATGGGCCACCACAACCAGCCACCCCGTTCCAAACCGACAACGAGTGGCCGTTGGACTCGCCCTATAACACCGTCAAAACAACGACGATCCAAAGCAATCGACATGCGCTTCTATTGATCAGAGATCGCAGTTACAACAGGCGCCAATTTTCCTGTTTTATTTTGCGCGTCTTCCGGTCTATATTATTATTGATTTTCGTATTGATGCTTCGGGTGGTTTTCTACTTCAGCAAGCCTTTTATCGGAGGGTGGTGTTTACTCCGAACAGCTCACCACATTCTCAAACGCCCACGATATCTCCAGCCCATCACCTGAGTAGAGGCTGAGGGTTGCTGATTCACGGCCGTCTGACGTCACCGTCAACCGGAATCTACCTCCACCCATCTACAAGATCTACAAGATATACAGAGACAACAAAGTAGCTTTTCCTCATAATCTTATAACATCATTCGTAATACATCTATCGCTACCTTTAGTCTCTTCAACAACAAGAAGCGGCTGTAAATTCTGGTTCTATCAAGTATCAAGAATCAAGGATCAAGGGTAAGCTCCACTGGCTCTTGACCAAGATCGATCTTAGTGTGGTGCTTGATAGGTTTTTGTAGACTAGTGCTACTAGACTGGATCATCATAGCTACCGTATCATCATCTTGCCCGTAGACTACTAGTAGCTGCCACGTCCTTCTTCTAACTTACTCACTTCCGCCCAAGTTGTCTGGTCGGCACCAGTCTCAGAGGTGGTACTGGTACCTGGTGGTACCACCGCCATGGTGCTTGTGCGGTACATGTAGCTGCAGTGCCTTCCGAGGGCCAGTACCGCCCACAGTGGCCAGCAGGACTGTATCAATGATCAATGGGAAAATAAGCCAATCCAGGCCATTATGAATGCATGGAATGTATGAGGTATAGGTGGACGCGTGTATTTCAAGAGTACTTACTTGTGAGATGCTTTGGAATGGAGCATTTAAAGCTCTTGGTTTCTTAGAAGGTAAAAGCCGATTCTAATCGTGCCCGCCAAAAAGACACCGGACGCTTTCTGAGTAAACAAGCTAACATTTGTCAACTCATCGTATTCATGCAACCGTTTAATGTGATGATGTTTTGTTGGCAGCCAATTGATGTGGAATCCAAGCTGTATTTCATCCCCGAGGAAAAGTGATGTTTCGAGCATTCTCTATCCAGATTAGATTTATGGGCTCAGTTCCTTTCACACTCAGATATGTGACAATGCTGAATGTGTGATGGCTGGGATTTGGAACTTGTGGTGTGTCCAGGTTGAATGGGTTAAACATCTGCGTGTACTGTCCGCAATTTTTAGGTTTGAGAACAAAAGCAGGAATGGCAATGGACCAACAGCAGCCATTTTTGTCAGCTTTAGTATCCAAAAGTGTACTGTATTTGATTGCGCGAATGAACGTTGTGAGGGCATAGATGATGGCTTAGACGTTTGATTTGACATCATGTTGTGAGTGGCTGAGGCCATAATCAGTGTGTCTTGGGAGCATCTGAAACAGTGCTGTCGTTGTAGCTGCTTGCAGTGCCGTGCCGGTGGGCAAGTGGTGAAGAGGTAACGTTTCTACGGAGTTGTTCTCAATGGGTATAAGTAGTTTTCTGTTTGTGGGAATCCGAAAGAGTGAGTGACTGGCGTCTCACAATTTGAATGCTATTGGCCGACACTCATCCAAGCAAAAGAAGGAATCCCATAATTTTGCCATCAAGAAACAAACCTCAGAAAGCTGCATTGGTGCTACATGGGCACAAGGTACTAGTACGGTAGCTTCTACATGTAAAAGAAGTGGTTCACTGTTGGTGTTGTTGTTTGGAAGGCACATTGCAGTCAGTACGGTTGTGTTATCAGTGTGGATAGGAAGAGTTAGTTTGGTGTTGGTTGCTTCCTAGCTACTGTAGCAGCTACGGTACAAGCACCTCTCCGCAGCTGTGCTGGATACCCCTTGTTCTGGAATTTGTGAGGGGTATAAGGGTATACTACAACTAGTATTATCTAAGGAGCTAAGGAGGTTCAAACCACAAGACGATGAGTACCTTACGGGTATCTCTACTGAGTGTGGTACTGCTCGTGTGTTCCAGTTGGTCTGTTCAGTCTTCCTCTTTTTCTGACAACCATTATCAAGCTTATCAAGCTCCAAGACTCCGGCTGAGCCAAAGCGAGAAACTCAAGAGACGCCGTTTGTTCGACCGATATCTCCATTTGAAAGCCCAACGGATTCCTGCTGCCTTTGCCACGGACTTGCAACAAGGAGGAATTCTGTACCACTCGTCTCTGGATGTCAATGTGACTTCTGCTACTGGTAATAGTGCTAGCTATGAGAAAGCACCTGCTAGCGGGTTGGTGGAAGACGGGAAAGCGTGTCACGTGCAGTGCAGCTTGGGGTACAAATTGACCCGTCTGAGGGGATTGGAATCTGCAACGCCGTCCCCACAAGTTGCGCAGTCTGCAACCCAAGCTACTACCAACTCTACACGAGAGCCAGGCATTACTATTCAAGTACAACCGGTGCAGCAGGAGCAAAGATCAGGAGGTCTGCTAGCTACTACTACTGCTGGTAATAACCTGTGGAAGATTCAGCTGGTACTGCATTCCTTTCAAGCTGACATGACGGCACAACTAAACGGCAAGGTTTGCAACCAAAGGCGGGCTCGAGCTGATGTGGACTTTACTAGCTACGGCAGTGTCACGGTGGAAAATGCGGTTGTCACAGCCACACTGTCACTACAAGGAGGGCCCAACCTGCATCAGCCCCATATTATTGACCTGGTCGATTTTGACGATCACCATTGGACGGTGGACAAGAGCAATCCAACCTTTCAAAAACTACTCCACAAAATACCACAGCATCTAGTGGAACAGTCCGTACAAGACTTTATTCACTACATATTCACCGAACGCTTGCAAGCAGTCATGGAACAGCAGCTCACTGCTACAGCAACTGCAACTCCAGTAGATCCTGCTTCTCCGACTACTAGTAGTGATGATCTTTTGCTACCAGTATTGGAGGCACAACGACAACCGCTGCAGTTATTACAGTAGCAGATCTCGAATCCACACCAAAATCTATCTATCTACCTCGATCGATCGATCGATCATGAAGGCCAGGCCAACTGTACCGGTATGTACAAAAGCAACACAATGCAGAACATGGAAGCAAGATTAAGAATCATAGGGGGAAATATTCCAAAAATGACGTCGAATGGAAGCACAAGGAGCCAAATGGCTGAAGTGTTGTTTTGGGATATTCGAGTATTCGGTTCGTTGGTTGCGGGGCTTGGCATGGCGTGGATTGCTGAAGGAAAGGATAGAATATGAAGACGATGGTACCAACCAAAGCTTGCAGTGCAGTTGGCAGGCTCTTACCACTCCGACAAACCAAAACAAACTATCACTACTAGCTAGCTAGTAGTTGTACGTGTATCATTTGCCTTGTCTCTCTCTTTCCAGAGAAACGAAATAATCCGTTCCTAACATGGCCTCCTTTCTTCTACAGTACAGCCACCGATACTAGAGATAGTAGTCCAAACTGAGCAACCTTGAAACTTGAAACCCTGCAATGGCCCGAGCCATTCCATCATCGTAGCATTGCTAGACTACTAGCAATAGAAACAAGTACCGGTAGCCAGCTGGCTAGCTAGCTATTACATAGAGCCTGCAACTGCTGCAATTAGCGCTCTAACGTTCGGGGAAACTGTGATTCGGGTTCTCAATTGAGTTTAGCTGGCATTTTGAGTAGAATGCTAGACAGTAAATGAGCGTGGGGAACAGTGTGAAGACGAGGTGAGCCTGGTCCAGGTCAAAAGAGGAGTAAAACCAATTCAGCAGAACCAATTTACTTAATACATCACTCAAAAATGAGACGCTAGTTTTTTAAAATCATTCACAGTTTTACAAACTGTTTACAAACTCTCAGAAAGTATGATTTACCTGTAGCTTTACTACATCCGTGATTCAAGGGCATCTTTCTTCTTGCTTGATGTTTCCCGCCGTTACTTACGAGTAGTACTCCTTTCCATTTTGCGCCACCGGTACAGTACCAGTACCACCATCAGGTCCCGGCGGCAACGGCTAGCTAGCTCCAATAACGAGCTTGCCACAGCTTCCTTAGAGCCGGTAGCAACTGTTGCCAGAGATAATCTAGCCAGCTACTAGCTAGTGGTATGCCACTGGTATTGACATGCTGATTGCTGGATGCTACCGGTGAGAAGGAGGCTTGCCACATTGGTGCCTCCGCCCTGAACAAAGCCAGCCCTCTGTCACCCAAAATATTTCTCTACTCTAGTAGCTCGCTAGTCACAAATTTTCCTGGCAACTTAATTGCAAGCCACCAACGGCCACTGAAACTGAGGCTGCTTGCTTCCTATCACTATAGTACTTGTTGTCTCACATTTTCTACACGAATTCCAATCTTAGATTGAGCCAAAAACCTAGCTCAGATCTTTTCCAAGCAACCGACCAACGAAGTTCTTTCAAGAAGTAAGCAAGCAGCAAGCAACGATGAAGCGTGCATCCTGCTGCAGTCCGAGCACTGAAGCTAGCACGGCACAAGATCTAGAAACCAGCTTGCGCAGTAAGCGCAGCAGATGCAGCCGTTTCTTTCATTCAAGTTTTGCAGAAGAGGAAGATGATCACTTCTCCAAGTACGGGTTCTCCGTGTTTGTGGAGAACCAAGATGATCCCGTGGTGGTACCGGTGAGTGTGGACGAAGCTGCTCGTGAGAGTGACAAAGCAGAAGAGAAACACGGCAAGGACAGCCGCAGCGGTGCGGTGAAAAGCGCGTCCTCGTCAGTGGCAACCCTCGACGATGGCTCTGTCTATGTGGACCACAAAGGCATGGATCAGGGTGCCCGCTCGTCGTTGTCGCGACGTCAAAAGGACAAGGATATTCCGCGTTTTATATTTGTACCGGTTTTGTCGAGGACCAATGACACCGCCGACACTACTAGAGCAATCCCGCAGAAGCACACCCCGAATCCGAAGAAGGGCTCTACTCGTAGTCAGCATCAGACCAAGGCAGCACCCAATGTGCCATGCACGCCGGATGCTGCCCCAATACAAGAAACGATCATAGTCGGACCGTCCTTGGCGGTTTTGAAGGCCTGGAAGAAGCAAGAAAAGGCAAAGCGGCCGTATTGGTTCCAACGACTCTTTTTGCCGTCTCCAAAGCCGACTCACTGTTCGCAACTCAAAGTGTTCCCTCTACGGGGAAGGAAGAAGACTGAACCTAGAGTAGGCAACAGACCCAAGCAACGCAGCATAGTGCCGTTGGTCGATGAATCGTCGACCACGTTCAACGCCGCCCGCAAAACCATCATCGAATGCTGAAACAATTGATGCCGGAGCTAGCTCATGCCCTGAAAGAGCTCCCTGAACCAGCTACATGTATCAATAGATAAAAAGAAGGAGTAAGCATTACATTGATGGTAGAATGTGATTGTCCAGCAACATCGCTCCTGCACGGTCTTACTAGCGGTTGGCAAGGCAAAGTCGCACTGCGCCGAATAGGTCCCTCTCCTACCTCGAAAGCTCTCGTACCCGGCCCTTGCTCGAAACAGCTTGCGTTATATCGTTCCAAGTGTTGTGGCAAACTCGCTGCTTCACAGGCCGGCATTGCATGGCGTTGTCGTCTTGGCGGATTCAAGACTCTCTTTCAACGACCTGTGGCGAGGAGCATGAGCTAACTCATCGCGCAAGCAAGCACACACCATCCTTTCTGTCGTCGTGAGTGCGCTCAGCAAGTGGAAAGTCATGTTGACCTGCGGGGGCAGTGCTCACATCCAAGCAAGTTGATCGCCTACTCTGTCCACTGACCTCCATTCGTATCTGATCCCAAGATAGCACCACAGAAGGATCAAGACTGTGGTTCTATTGATACTTGCTTGATCTGCTGACTGCATGGGATGGCTATGGGGAAGTTCGTTGCAAGCCTCCATGTGTAACCTCACTTGAATGTTTGTTTTGCAATGTAGGTAACTTCCTGATCAGTGCTGTTTCTGCTGCTGCTGCTGCTGCTTTTTCTTGGTAGGGTTTCTTGTCCCCTATGGTATAGTTGATTCTTGTGGCTGCTGATTTGGAGCCTAGTTCCTAGTTTTGCCCCCGAATCTGATGCATGGATGACTTACTTCTTGCTTTTCGCTGACACAATATGGTACTGTACCGGTGGCGCAGCTCATCGCGCAAGCAAGTACACACCACCCTTTCTCTCCTCGTCGTAAGTGCACTCATGCAACCAGTGCACGAGAATTCAGTTCGGGCCGTGTGGCGATAATGAGCACAAGCACGGGTACGAGGATGAGCACGAAAACAACGATGCAGACATGCAAAAGAGCAGTGCGATGGTGTCTGATTGAGCAATCCCAACACTCGGAAGGATTCAATTCGGCAGGCTTCCTGTACGATTGCGGTATGGATCAATCAGAGGACCTAGAAGCCAAGGAAAGTCATGTTGATTTGCAGCATGCTCCCATCCAGTTGATCACCTACCGTACTCTACCCCGCTGATCTCCATTCGTGTCTGATCACGAAGAATCACCGGAGGATGAAGACTGTGGTCGTATTGAGACTTGCAGGAATCGTCTGCTGACTCGGTTGTTCGTTGCATTCCTCCATGTGCTTTCTCACTTGTAACTTTGTTCTCCCTCCAATAAGGCACCTTCAAGATCATTGCTTCTTCTTCTTTGTTCTCAGCTCTGACCATTCTGCGATGCATAAGCACTAGGTTGGGCTGTTTCCCCTTTGTTTCTCCTTGTGGCTGTTAATTGGGAATTTGATTTGCCCTCCTGGTCCTCGTCAAGTCCCATACAGGCACCAGATTCATGGCTGGGCTTTCTTGTTCTTTGAACTCTTTGCTCGTTGCTTCGTTGCTTCCGTTTTATGATGCTATCTTCCAAACCTCCGTTCACCTATCCTCTTCCTCCACATCACCGTTTTCTCGAAAACCGGGTTAGTACGAGGTTCGAGTGGACCGTGGGCGGGAATAGACTCGTCACTCCAGAAGTGGAGTGCAATGCTGGCTGAGTGCATGGGAGCAGCTATGGGAGCCAAGCAAGCAGACCATCCCAGCCAGAAGGAGGATAGGACGGCAAGGAAGGAGGACAGGTAAAGGAGAATGGATCAGACTAGCGATAAAGATCTACTAGAGCGCCATGATCAACCCATTGAAAAGAGCTCATTGCAGAAGCAGGAACATGAGAAGAACGGGGGTGAACTGTTGGCACATCTAAGAAGCGCATTTTTAGGTAGCGCGAAAACGGGAGCACCCCTACCATACCATTCCACGTGTTTGGCATATAAAATCGTGACGTCGCTGGTTAAAGCTTTGGTAGTAATTCAGCAGTTTCGGAAGGTGAGGTCATCCAACCGGATCGACGAGCTCCTGATTTGAAGGTAGCATGCATATAACATACAGCCACGACCTTGCCAACCCAGTCGTGCCCTTTCGGTACTTAGGTATGCGTATGTTTGGGAGGCAAACTACATAAGAATGCACCAGGACGAGTTACGGATTGCTAAGTACAATCTCTTTTATAAGATCGAGCCATCCAGACCCAGAAACTGCAATTTGGAACCTCAGAAGGCCACATTTTTGACGGTGTCTAGTCATTCTATATGCTAAAAAGTAAGTCTGTAAGCTACCAGTTATTTGTACCTATCTACAAATGTTTGATTGTTGTAGTACTGTGATGATTGGTTTAAGAACCAGAGAGCTCTATCAAGTCACATAAAAGCCTATCAAACTTTATTGAGGACGGAAAAGAGTGCTGGGCATTGACACGGACTAACAAGAAGGAGTATCCAGGGCAAGGGCTGCGCTTAGGGTATGAAATCTCTCTA